GTTTAAAACTTTTTAAAAGACCGCAAAAAAGTGCAACAAACTTTCCCTTAAATTTCAAACTTTTTTCTCAGAAGCTCTAGAATTTTTTTGAGTACACAGTTTTATAGCGCTTTCAATTTTGTCCAATAATGTGGAAGTTTCAAGTCGCTAAAGATTACACAGAGAATACACAGTTTTATAGTCCATTCAATTTTAGTCTAGTAATGTGCAAGTTTCAAGTGGCTAAAAATTACCGTTGATTTTTTAGAATTTTTTTTGTCTCATTTGCTTCCATATAACGACTAAACACAATTTATTTTTATATGGCAGAAATCCGCAACATCCTCGGCGAAAAAAATTCTAAAAAATCAACGGTAATTTTTAGCCACTTGAAACTTGCACATTACTAGACTGAAATTGAATGGACTATAAAACTGTGTATTCTCTGTGTAATCTTTAGCGACTTGAAACTTCCACATTATTGGACAAAATTGAAAGCGCTATAAAACTGTGTACTCAAAAAAATTCTAGAGCTTCTGAGAAAAAAGTTTGAAATTTAAGGGAAAGTTTGTTGCACTTNGCCAAACAACACCGAACGGTACAGCTCGCTGTCGTCACTTAAGCGACCCGCATTCTATTCCCCCACTTGCTTCTGATGAGCAAGTAGTGCGCTAAAACTGTAAAAATGGAAAAGAAAGAATGTTAAACAGCGCGAATGGTTTGGTCCTTAAATTATGCCACACTCTCTACTTCTTTTTACGTCTGCAGCTACATACGTTCCCCTCTTTGCTCTACCCTTCAGTACTTCATCATTTCACATCAGCCTGATGGTGTTTGGTGCATTTCTCTATTTATCGCCATTGTTGCCACATTTTTTCGCTCACCTTAGCGGACACCATAATTTCCGATATTCTAAAGGATCGACGCGTTCACCTCCACCACAGTTTCAGACTTTTGTAGAATTCTTTCATCTCTTTATGTGTGTATAAATCACTTCAAGTATTTTAAATTGCACGCATTTACCAAGCAAGAGTAGCAAATAGAAAAACAAATATTAATAAAAAAATAAATAAAGACAATGTAATATATTTACGAAACATGCGGTTAACTGCAATCGTACGAATAGTTGAAGTTGCGGCCCAATTTCGGACGGCGATGAAAAATAAATTTAGTAAAGATTAAATTTGTCTTGGATTTAATAATAAGTTTTAACTTAATCGTCGGATTCATCATAACATTGCTTTAGAATGAATACATAGTATATGAAGTCATTATTATATATCTAGAGTACAATTCGTAGATACTGACTGAATCCAGTTCAGCCAGACACTCAATTAGGGACACGATATCGAACCGAAAGTATCGATATGGTACTCATTTAAAGTATCGCTTTAAAAATATCGGGTACCCATTAATATAGGAATAAAAAGACTCGATATAACAAATATCGATACGGAAATCCAATAAAATTTATCTGAATATAGGTTCCGCATATAGGCCGCTGGGGTGGTTAGAAGTACGCAACCCTTGAAAATGAAAAACAGCTTCCCATAAAATACAATCGCCGTTCAGAGTCGACATAAAACTGTAGGCACCCTCTTTGTGCCACTCAAATCGGAGGAGAAGTCCGGCCAAACACTAACATATTGTGTAAGCGCCGTACTTTATTATTATTACAACACGTAGACATTGAGGTGTTGACTTAAACATTAATTACCGTTTAAAAATGTTCGTTTTTAAATCAAGTGAAAAGTCTTAACCAAATGGATTTTTCCATTATACATACTCTACGTACATATAATGGAAATATTCAATTCAAATACTCCCGTACTAAAATTAAGCATTTTTTACTACACGGATGGCGTTTTGCACGTCTCGGATGCTTTTTCATATGTAATTAAGAAGGTATATGCATACAAAGCATGCACAGCGGTGACAACACATACGCACATACATGGTATGACATAATGCACTAATCGCGTGCTGTGATGTTAATTCGAACTCAACATTTGAAAACACCTTTACATGTATGGCTGCAGCTGTGTGTGCAAAGACGCTTGATACAATTAGTTGCGGCCAAGAGGGTGCGGGTTCAATTCCCCATCAGACGGAAAATAAAATAAATTTTTTTTTTCTCTTAATTACGAAAAAGCATCTGTGCACTTCACAACCACATATTTTATAACGTATATACTCAAATTTAAAACGAGTTGGGTTGGTGCTCTTTCATATGCGTATTTTTTTTCAATTTAGCACGTTTTTTTTAATTCTAAAATTTTTTTCCCTCAGTGTTGGAAAGTGTGTTTATGACATTCGATACGATACTAGGGTTCTGGTACTCGATTCATAAAAATATCGTTTTAAAACTATCGAGTATAAAATATCGGTATCGAATGCCAAATTATCGATATGGTATCGTATCGTATCGAAATTCGTGTCCCTACACTCAATAAAATAATGGAGGAACGAGCGTCGACGAGCCCTCGCCAAAGCGAGACGGTGTCGTAAGTAATGGTCCACGCTCTCGATTTCCTCCTCGTCATGGCAGCCATTCCAGCAGGGTGGACGCTCCAAGTGGAGGAGAGGGCGAGATCTACGCTTATCCAACTTATCCCAGATATGTTTTGCTATTCTGAAGACCACCGTACTTGCCCGTTCTATAAAGTTATTCTCCACCTAGGGTTTTGCAGAAAATAGTGGAATGCCAGTGCGATCTGTACTGATTACAGATAGTAAGGATACTTTCCGAGCCAGTTTATCTGCAATGCAGCTGCCCGGTATGTATTTATATCGTAAAATCCATATAACTTTAGGGACGTAACACTTTGCTAGCGCATTTAGAGTACAGCTACATTCCATGACAATATTCGTTGTAGATTTGCCACTATTAAGTTTTTTAATAGCTGCCTGGCTCTCAGAAAAGATAGTTACCGCATGCTGACTAATAAGAAAATCGATCAGCCATCTTGCAGCTTCGTCGATTTCTGGTAGTTTAGCTTAAAATACGCTACAGAAATCTGGCAGCGGAAAACTAAGGCTAAGTGAGAGTTCTTCCAAAAATTCTGAACTCGATACTTGCGCCACTTTGGACTTGCTGCTTTTGTTAACGTTTTCTTAAACTATGTTCACATATCAATATTATCTCAATCAAAGCTAGTTTTTTAATCACCCCGTTTACACAGGCAAATCTCAGATTATTAGCCGTCAAATTTGTTGTGCTTGTTATTCCCACATCTCAAGGAAAATTTATGTTTCTTCTCTGTGCCACCGTGATCACGTTTTTCTGCTATAATAAGCAATATAAATATATTTTAACTTAACATTTTATTAAAAATACCTTTACAAACCTCTTTTACTTGCTAGCGTACATTTTTGTTTACTTTTACATTTGGCATTTCTCCTCTCTTTCGCAAAAACAATCGATAAAACTAGGATGGACACCGAAAAGTTATCGGTTAAATCTGAGATTATTTTATAATTACAGATTAACAAGGGAAGAATTTTATACGGCTAATCTCTTGTTATAATTACAGATTAGGGTGTTAAGCTCGAAAATGAGGATAATCTACTTATATGTGAACCTAGTATTAGACTGAATAAAGTTCGGGGGAGTCTCGTTGTTTTGTGCTGCTTTTGTTAATGTTCTTTTAGACTGAATGAAGTTCGGTGAAGTCCCGTCGTTTTATACTGCTGATGAAGTGTTGTGATTGGCCCAATACATACATTCAATCAGTGATGCCAGACATTCTCTGTTAAATATCCCACGGAAATGGGGAAAAAATCCCTCAATTACCCACATCTTGAAAATTTATCCCACAAAATTCCCAACGAATTTAAACATATACATGTTTCAGTAGTAAAGAAGTAAAATTCATATAAAATAATAATAATAGTTTGGCGCTTACACATATGTGCTTTTCCTCCAATTTCTGGCGGTCCCCTTGATGTTGTCACACAAAGGGGAGGGACCTACAGTTTTACGCCGACTCCGAATGGCGAGTGTATTTTTATGAGAAGCTGTTTTTCATGGCAGGAATACACTCGGAGGTTTGCCATTGCCTGTCGAGGGCCGACCGCTGTTAAGAAAAACACCCTTTTTCTGCATTTTTTCCCTCATTCATTTTTTCCCTTTCATTTTTTTGCTCACTCAGTAAGAGCCTAAAAGAATTTTTTGGTGACTTTAAAATTGAAGCACATTCATGTGCTACTTAACATTTCATCAGATAATTTGTTCCGCTTTTTACATGAAACACCAGTTACAACTGAAAAGATTCTTTCTTACTCAGCGCTTGAATTGGTTAACGTAAGAAAATTTTCGAAATTGTCCTTATACTTTTTAACAATTATATACCATTTCACTCCACATCACATCTTCAGAACGATTAATTACGTAAGAATGTCGAATATTCTTGAATTTTGATCAATTATGCAACAATAACTGCGTCAAAAGAAAATCCCTTATTTATATGAAGTGTCCCTTTTTTCCCTTTTAATAATTTTTGATGCAAAATATCCCTCAAATAGGGAAATTACCTACAATCTGGCATCACTGCATTCAATAAGATTTGCGTTCGTGTATTTTAGAAGTGGGGCGGAGCAAAAAAATGCTTATTTGTGAGCTTGCACAAAACAATAAAAAATTTTAAATTTCTTCAATTCCACATGAAATATGTACCTTTGTATGTATGTATAAATTTTGAGTGTTTTGAATGGAAATATCCCTGTAGGGAACTCAACTAACTACAAATGCACTACAAGTTCACTATTTTTCAACTAGGGCGTAGTCACCCCTCTACACTTTACGTTGCTTTCAACTGACTACTTTCACATGATGATGTCGCAAAAAAGGTCAGTTTGTTTTCAGTTAACTACAAACCGGGTATTAATAAGTTCACTTGTAGTGTGCCCAGAGCTGGGTGGTAATGATTCCTTTAGGAATTAAATTACTCCCAATAACAAATTACAGGTAATTGTAATTAGGAATCAATTCCTTCAGTCCACAGCAAAGGAATCGATTACTTTCTCAATTCCTTGAAGTAATTTCAAATGTAATTGTTTTTTTTTCTGTAATTCCATTACAAGGAATTTCTAATTGTAATTGTAATAAATTATGTGCTAGTAATGTAATTTTTTTTTTCCAATTCCTTTGAAAGGAATTGAAAATGTAATTGATTTTTTTTTCAATTCCATTACCTGGAATTGCAAGAGTACTTTAGTTTTTTCAATTACTCAAAGGAATTGTAAAAGTAATCGATAAACTGAAAGTTCATTCTCGAATACAACATGTGGAATTTTTGTTGTGGTCAAAGATTAAAATCGCAAGCACACATTGGACATCCTCTATGAATATCTATATATATGAAAATGTTGTGTTCTTATGTCACGGGCATCAAAACTCGGGATCGGCTGAACCGTTTTGAATAATTTTTTTTTATATTATTCGGTATAATACCAGAACCAATGATATCGCAAAAATCTTGAGGGTTATCACCTATTTTAAAATTTTTAAACCCAATTATATTGATAAAATTAATGAATTATTACAATATTGGTATCAAGATAAAGAGGTTTAAGAAAGATAACTGATGGAAGTATTTTTGAAAAAAGTCAAATTGGAAAAATTAATGAAATATTGCCATGTGGGTGTCAAAACAAAGAGTTTTAAGAAGGCTTACTGCCGAAAATATGATTGAGGAGGGTTGCCACCTGTTTGAAAATTTTACTCAACTTAATTGATCTAGGTATCAAATTAAAGAGGTTTAAAAAAGAAGACTTTCAAAAACACTTTTGAGGAGGGTTGCCACCTATTTGAAAATTTTAACTCAGTTAAATTGATAAAAATAAAGAATATTTTATATCTTTTTAAGTAAGCATTAAAAAATTTTAAATTTTCTCAATATAAAGAAATTTTGAAAAATTGCAGATACAATTACAATATAAAATACAAATGACCCGATTTAATAAACCTTTCCGGTTTTTCTGCCTTCAGTAGATTAACAAATCAAAAACCTACCCTTTACTGCAACAACAGCGCACAAGCTCTTCAAAAACCACGGCAAAAACCACCGTAATTGCCTGTTCAACTGCAACCTTTGCGGACGTTTGTACAAGACACTTACAACCTTTCAGTGTAAATGTACAATATATTTGAAATTTTTGTTGCTCACTCGGGAAAAATATTTTAAATCATGATAGTTTAATTTTAGCATTTTTTTTATGTTAAAGGTTGATTTTTTTCATTCGCAATGCAAACATAAAATGAAAATAACTTGACTAAAAGACCTTATCTAAAAAAAACGGTATAAGATCCGTAACATACTTAAATCTTAAAATCAATTGCACGTGTATCGGCGTTTTTTGTGTATTTTTTGCGTCGTTACAGTGTTATCATCAAAATTTAGCCATAGCAATGCAATTTGTTTATAAAACTCTTAGGAGGTAGGATCTCCAGTCCGACAGGGCTCGTAATTCGAGCGGACTCTATCCTCATTTGTAACGCAGGATACCAGTAAGAGTACTTCAAAGGCCCCAGAAGGCACGCCATTTTGAGTAGAATTAAGGGTACCATAATATACACAATTAAGTCAGTGCATTTTTATAGATACGCAGGGACAGCAGTGCCCAAGGCAGCGGGCGGGTTATGCCTATTTCGACACTTATGGGTTTCATCTGCCGCGAAGCGCGTTCGCCTTAGAATATGGAAACTTTTTTTTTATAAATTTTTTGATTACTTCTTAAATTACTTTTAGGAATGGAACTCGAAAAAAATCAATTACATTTTCAATTCCTTTCAAAGGAATTGGAAAAATTTCAATTCCTTTCTAAGGAACTGGAAAAAAAATTACATTTTCAATTCCTTTCAAAGGAATTGAAAAAAAAAATACATTACTAGCACGTAATTTATTCCAATAACAATATGAAATTCCTTGTAATGGAATTAAAGAAAAAAAAAACCAATCTATTTAAAATTACTTCAAGGAATCGAAAAAGTAATCGATTCCTTTGCTGTGAACTGAAGGAATTGAATCCTAATTACAATTACTGAGGAATGTAATTGTGATTGTAATATAATTGCATTTACCCAGCTCTGAGTGTGCCAATTAATAGAATGTTTTTTGTACTCTCAGGTTTTATACTTATTTTATGTAAACCATTATCTGCATGATAAATATTCAGTTAGCATGTATTAAGACCTCTAAAGATGTGCTATTAACATACGTACATACATGATATGTACGGGGATACGTATGTATGTATGTATGTGAAATTGTTTCACAATTTCCCCTTTCGACAAAAAAAGCTTGAGTTCAAAAACAAAAAATTGAAAACAATTGTAAACGTATGTACATTTATTGTCTTTGTGTTTTCTTTGAAAGCGAGATAACATGGATTTAAGCTATTTTATATGTATGTATGCATATTTTCGGCTAAATTATTGTAAATAAAATAGCCTAAATCCATGTTATCTCGCTTTCAATGAAAAACATAATGACAATAAATGTACATGGCTTATTCCATCTCAAATCACCCAGGCCGGGGGAAAGTGAATTTAAGTTTGCGATAAAACTCACAGGGAATGTTCCTTGAACAATTTAAGGAGACACGTATTTTTTCTTTTTGCTCAGAAATGCGAATTTTTCGAATAATGAATTTTTTTCTTTTTGAGTACGAACGCTTCTTTTTTCCTCTCTTAATAGCAACTTTTGATGAAATCGCTTATAACTGCCGCAAAAAAGCAAGGATTTTAACGATTTTTTTTTTAATTGCAGACATTGATCTGCTAGATCGATCTAGTGAACTAAACATCAGTAATTGTTTATTAATAATTAATTATTGTTTATAAACAAATTTATTTTTTTTTTCAAATTGACTTTTTCAAATTGCCACATCTTTTTTTTCTCTCAAACTTTTTTGTCTATAAGGGAATAGTCTAAACTTCGTCGTTTTCGAGTTATGATTTTTTTTCTGAAAATGCACTTATATGATGCTAGCAGATTTTCGTTCCAGTTGAGGACGCAAAAGTTGTTGCCCATTATGATAAAGTTTCCTTGCTGGAATTTTTTTGAGGTTGCCCGATCAGAGCCAAAAGTTTTTCCCAATTGGGCTCTAATTTTGGCCCAATTGGGGCCCAACTAGCGATTTGCCCAATCTACCGACGATTTCCCCAACCAGTGCTCACAATTTGCTCAAAGTGAACATGCGTACGCAAATAAAACATTTTTATCGATAAAATCACACATACACACATCAAAATTCCCTACGAAAAAAATATTTTTTAATTTTTTTTCTTGAAAAATTTTCCCCATACAAATTTTTTGATTAAAAAAAAATAGTTTTTGAAAATATGCCATCTCAAAAAAAATTGGAAAAGTCACAATGGTAGCTCTGAGTATTGCGCAATATTTAAGTATAATGTTATGGGGTGCACTCTACAATAATTTGAGTTATGAATTTTTTTTACACCGAAGTTGAGTAAAATGAATACATTACAATTAAAAAAAAAATAAAATTTTGTTTAGAATTTTTTTGAGTATGCAATTTTGTAGCCCATTAAATTTGAGTATAATAAAGTGCTAGTGTTAAGCCACTGCAAAATTGCGTTGATTTTTAATATTGTTTATGCTCACGGCTTCTTGCACTTTTTCCTTATCGATGAAAATGCCTAAAACCGTTTTCAAAGAAAATTAAAAAAAAAAATTACCGGGTGTTTTGCAATCTCTTAAAACTTCCACTTTATTATACTAAAATTTAATGGGCTATAAAACTGCATATTCAAAAAAATTCCAAAACAGTTTAAAAAATTTGTAAATTGGTAATGTACTCATTTTACTCAACTTCGGTGTAAAAAAAAATTCTTAACTCAAATTATTGTAGAGTGCACCCCATAACATTATACTTAAATATTGCGC